GAGAGCTGCAATTTCAGCTCCGCCCAGGAGGGAAACGCAGCTTTGACCGAAGTGCCGCGTGTCAGTGCCCATTCTCGCGCTCGACCACCGAGCTTTGAGATGGCTAGTGCTACGCGCTGTCGCTCGGTCTGGAGCTGGCAAATGCGATGGCCATTTCGAACTCTCTCACCCGGAGCAGGAGTTTCTCTCCACCCTTCCCTTCGAAGACCTTACCGCTCACCATGAGCGGCTTAGAGCGAGAGAAATCATCCGTCACCGACGGTGGCGTCATAAAGGCAAATGATGCAAATTTCTTCTGCTGCAGGTGCTCTAGCAGCGCGTTTTCGTAACTTGAAACCGCCTCTAGACGCGCACCGATTGCCTCGGGACCTTGCGCCGCATGGTGTAGCACGCCTTCTGGACCAAGCAAGGATCTCAGCTTGTTTAGCCCGTCCTGCATGCCCTGGGGCGGAGAGGAAAGTTCTTCCATCATCACAGAGGATCAGTCTAAACCCAGGTGTAGATTGACTCAAGTGCTACCAAGTGCAGCGGGGCTGCCGTAGCGTTGCGCTTAGTGGAAGCGTAATTTAGGTCTCCGATCTTTCGTTCTATACTTAGAACAAGTACGAGCTAGCAGATCGCAATCCGCTTACTCCAAGAGTAATTATTGCCTTAACCCAAGGCTAATTAACTCTTCCGATCAATTCAAAATTTTTATTTATTTATACCTGCGGCAAAGCCGCCTAATGTTAAATGTTTAGATTTTCCTATATATAGTAAAATCTAAATACATGCATAACTACTGGCTACCTACCACTTACCGTATTCTTGTTTGGGTGCTGTCACACTATGCCCATCTCGTGTGACACACACCCCTGTTATCAGGGTACGTGTAACCCCATTACAAGTTTCGTCGTATCATGACTATTCATTTCAGACCATCAAAAGTTGCTTATCGGAGCCCTTGCATGACTATGCGTGGAAATCTTTCGCTCAAACAAGAGCTGAAAGAGGGTTTCTTTCCTTGCATCACGCTTTCGTAGCTTATGGAGCAGCACGGGGTAGAAATCCCAATTCATCACGGGCGATGTACCCTAGGTACTAAATGCTGGAAAGAGTACCGATGAGTACCGTACTCAGTTCGCTCCTTTGGAGAGAAATATGGTCATATCACAGCTTAAAGCATTGCAGGTCAACCGCTTTGAAGCGGACGTCCCACTATAGCGTCAATTAATTTCTCGACCTAGTGAAGTACAAACACGAACGGTCGTCTTCATTAGATAGCTGTTTCAGCTGTCGAATGTACAACAAGGCCGGCCGCAATCGCCAGTGAGAAGTACACTGCAACGGTTATCCCCAGAAGAGATAGTGGGATAGGTCGCAACTAGCAACGGCTCCAGGACCATTCCGCCGGAACGGGAGCTCAAACTGCCATATGGTTTTGAAATGAGGGTCATTTTTCACTTCACCAGATACTGGTAGCAGCCCTAGCGCATCTGCCGGCTCAACATGTTACCTGAAAGTCGTCACTCCTTGCTCAATGAGCGGCTCCTTTAAAAGATGACCCATCAGTGTTCGGATTTTATGATTTCTACTAGGAATGGCGGTACTTGCCTCTCTTCAAGTGCAACAGGTTGCCGTGCACTTTGCACACAAATAGGTCTGACTCTAAGAGTCCGCTCAAACAAATACATGGAGATCGAATTTGGCAATCCTAGCATGAACACAACCGAGCAATATTACGGTAACTAGATCCCTAGTCGGTCCTGTTGAATTAATGCTGCTTAGACTAAAACCGGATATTTATGAATCACTATCATCTAAAAGCGCCTTTATTCCTAACGTGCGACTAGCAGCCTATATGAACCCCGGGCATTTTTTAGGTTTCATCGGCTAGAACGTATAAATACTCACAGTCACACCAAAGTACAGCGCAAAATGTATATAAGTGTACCTGTGATATAATTGTAAAACCACATTTTGCTCTAGAACCGCGCTCACTTCATGCAAGCACTTCCAGAGATATGCTTCACCATGCGACTAACGTGACCACCTACTTAGGCATCGGCAATTGATGGCTGGCATCATTGTCTGCCTCCTCGGCATGGCTAAGGTCTTTCACCTCTGAGTGCGCTCACGGTGCTAAGTTTCCCCACTGCATGAGTCTGAGATCTCAAGCCCTTTTCATCAGCTGGACGTGTAGCGAATATCCGCCACGGGGCACACAGATATCCAACTCTACTCCAGCGAGCTGAATATGGCTAAATTCGCCCAACTTGCCCACTGGTGCGCTCATAGAGCGCTCGTTGTCAATACACGACGCGTTCACGACATGAAATTTAATCGCCCTATGTAATGCTACACCCTACACATTCTAAGAAGATGTACGGGGACACGAGTTAGCCACGCTTGTTTGAAGACTCTCAATAACAATAGTGACAGTTAGAGCTTTTGGATGAAAGTGAGTCATCCTTGCGGCGAGAACGGCTCTTAATACTTAAATATAATCAGCAAATCTTCGCCTATCTCCAGAAATTTGAGCGCACTATATAACGGGGTTTTTCGTGCCCTGGTATGAAGGGTGTGGGTCAAACAAGACAGTGTGATCACATAATGGTGTGGCGACACTTAAACAACAAGTCAGTATGTGGCTGTACTTATACATTTAATTAAGCTATATAGACAGGAAAGCCTAAAAATTTAGATACAGGCGGCTTTGCCGCAAATAAAATCGATTAATACAGTTTACGCTTAAAACGGAAAAATGAGTTAGTCTTGGGTAAGGTTGTATTTTTTTTTAAGTAAGTAGATTGCGATTCTCTACACTCGCACTGGTTCTAAGTATAGAACGAAGGTCACCAACCTCCACCAAGCATCTTTAAGCGAAAGAGCTATGGCAGTATCGCTGCACTTGGTAGCACTCGTAGTCATTCTACACCCGAGTCGTAACAACTGACCCGCCAATACCCAACAGGAAAGAAATCCGCGGCACTTAACTTTTTCGACTGTCAGTCGACACATGGCTTTTGATATTTCATCCAACATACCTGGAGTGAGATCGGAATTGAAATTTCGGTCAAGGACCGCTATCATTGTCCTCAATTTTTACATGAAGGCTTAAAAATACCTCCGACATTACCAGTGCCTCCATCGAAAGGTGCACGGATATTGAATCCGTATTTGACATCTGCAATGCCTCCGCGTACATCGCATTGTACGTAATTACATGATACGTCTGATTCTGTCAGAACTCCCCGCGGCTTCACAAAGCCCGAGACGTTGATATCAACAACTGGTAACCGTGTTTAGCGAGTCCCATCTCTCTTCGAAAGAGTCACTTTCTTGAGAGCTAAGTCCTATTGACCACGGCCCCCATAAGATACGATAGAGCGCATTTTTCTTCCTTGGATCCCCCGCGTGGTTGGTACCGAAGAGAAGCTAAGCCCATCCTCCGTCATGGACAAGTCCGTCTTCGAGGACACTGACTTGACGAAAGGAAGGCTTGACCTTTACCACAATGCAAGAGTCAAGGTTCATCCAGGTGCTTTGGTGGAAGAAGTCCCGGCGTCTCACTTCGATGTCAATGTGATGTTGTCCACCACATGCAGAGTAGCCGACGATTATCCTAGTATGCCCGAAATTTTCTGTCCTCCTCAGCTTAATACCTCTGAGAATTATCACTTGCACGCCAGTAAGCGATAGAATGCAACAAAAATCATATCACTTTTTATACTATAGACTCATAGCTCTTTTAAACAACAAGATATGCCGCAATCGATGTGTGTGTCTATGGAGATGAAGGGGTTTACGAATTCCTACTCTCAGATTTTGCGCATGCTTTGTTCAATGCTTCAGCCTTACCTACCATGATTCATGAGTCCATCATGCTTGTAAAATGATAGGAATCACCATTATATTAGCCATCCCCGAAGTTTGTGAGCGACTTTGTTCAGTTTGTCAAAGCATTTCAATAAGCTTGGATGATTATAATGGCCCAATCAAATTTTGGCACAAATGTGCCGCCCCCTTCCGCCTATCCTAAAAAAGTGACTAAGTCCTTCAGCATGGTGCGTTGTGACTTAATAATATCTGCTTCCTAGTCGTGGGCTCTAATGTTGTCAGCAAATACTATAGGGTGACGCGCGCGTTGTACTCACCACGCTCATTACTGAGAAACTCTTGTCACCCGGACCCAAGAAACTCTATGTGTCTTATTATCGTAAGCGTGTGTATGCAGATCTGCTGGCCGACGGGTCCATACGCTTCAACGATCAGATTTACACGTCGCCTGTTCCTTGCGCACTACACATGAAGCGCACACTCAATCCCTGTACGTTTACACGGCTTTGATTTCTAAGAACGCGAGCTTGTCCTTCTTACACTATCCTACGTAGCTCTCAAGACAGATGCAGGTTGGTCATCCATGTATTCAGCGGCATCAGGAGAAAGTTTAAAAGACATTAAGGATCGCTTAAATATACGTAAGCGTGGCACAAATGTCCGTTCCACTCATAAGGAGAAGAAAGGCAGTGCGCTGTCGCCCATATCTAGCGATCACGTTGTGTGGTCCACAGCCACAGGAGGAGCTAAAGACGCAATTCCAGTATGTATAGGTTCTTCTTCCGATAGACGTCTTCATTCAATACTCATTATATATGTTCTGAGTGCAGAAGTGCAGTGTCTGCAGAACTGAAGCTTTGACGGATGTTGTTAAGTGCAGCGCCTGCCACAGCAAGACACACCTCAAGTGTGCAAGTCCGGTGTTGCAGACTGCCCCGCCAACCTCTTGGTTCTGTGAAAGGTGTGTGACAGCTCAAGCTAATCGTATTCTTGAGTTTCTTCAGCAAACAAGGCGTGTACTCGTCGAAAGGATTGCGGAACAGAGGAGAGGACAATGTCAGCAGAAATCAGTAGAGGTAATCAAGAAAGATGATCATACTGATATTGACGAGGAAGTTACTTGTAATAATGGGGAGCAAACAAAAGCGCATTTAATTAAGAAAAAAGCTGATGCTGTGGGGAAGGAAATGTATGTTCACGGGACTGAAGGCTTCGATTGTGAGGTCGAAGAGATGTCAACGGCTTTTTCCGTCGACAGCACAATTGGGTCGAGGAACGATAATAATGGGATTGCGGTCTCTGATGGCGAAGAAGCTATGGCAGATGAGGCCACAACAACCGCAACAGAGCTGAAGAAGGTTCCTATGCTTCCTGATGGTGCTTCGAACAAAAAGGAAATAAATCAAGGAAGCATTGAAACTACGGCTTTAGCGAAATTGGAAAATGTTGGCGAAGCTGCGAGTGAAAAATCAACAGCAGAGCATGTTGATGACGATCTTGCGATTGTTAACGTTGTAAAGACTTTCAGTGTATGTGAAGTGTTACTTAGCTTAGTTTTGATGTGTGATCCACTAAGTTCATGTATGACTACAGGAGGAAGTAAAGTTCTTGGTACTGATCGATAGCCTTATTGCGGAAGTGTCGTCTGATCCTGAAAGAGCCCATCTGATTGCAAATAGTACTGGCGCAACGTTAGTGCATCTTGAAAAAACGCAGCTCGTGCAGCTTGTAGAGTATGGAAAACGTGAAATTCTTGCGGCTACCCAGTCAGAAATTGAAGACGATGAAGACTTTGAAAACGTTAGCAGCCATAATTCGGAAGTAGATGCTCTTATAAAGATTTTTGACTTGCGACACCAGATCGTGTCTTCGCAGTCGCACTTTGAACGCACAACAACTGCTTTAGCTAAGCGCACTGAAGACCATTTGCGGAACGCTGAAAGTGAACTTATGGATTTGGAAGAGTCGCGGGCTGCTAAAGCCCAAGCATTTACTAGAGTGGCAGACTCAATTGAGCAGTACTCCACTGACTTAGCTCAATGCGACAAAAAAGTTTACATAAATGAGGTGCTCTTAGAGAGTATCAACCACCGTCGCAGTTTTATTCGATCTGCCAACATCAATAATCGTTTTGTGCCGTCATATCGCTACAGCACAAAGCTCATGACAACGAGTAGTGACCAGCTTTTGCTTACGGTATTATTGGATAAACTTCGTGATATTACGGACTCGATAAATGAATGGTCCAAGATGGAGTGCCATTTTGAGAAAATGACGACTAGACTGAAGAAGTCATTGTCGTTGATCAGCACTAAGAGAAAGCGCTCAAGCGCTTCCGTCATACTGCCACAAACCGCGCCTTTATTTGCCAAGGTGAAGATTCCTCCGTCTCGACGCCTTATTGAGCGCCAAATTGCAAATTACGATTTGAATTTAGATGCCATTCACCAGAGTCGTGCTCGTATGCGAAAAACTTTGTCTTCCATTTTAAAGATTGCGCGGGAAGAGCACTTAAGCGAAGAAATTATTCATATGACCGATATTTTGTATCAAAAATGCCGAGATCTGAAGGCCGAAGAGGAGGAAGAACAGTTGCGGATTAAATGGGAAGCAGAGGCTGAAGCGAAGGCGAAGGCACAAGAAGATGAAGCTTGTGTGCACCAGCGTATCCACGACAGCGAGGCGAGTGAAGATGAGCCAAAAGCGAAGAAACAATGTGCAAGCACTGTCGGCTCTGTTACTAGATACCAACCCGACGAAACTGCTACATCACTGAAAACGACTGTATCCTGTGATGGTAAGGGAATTTTATCATTGTTAGGAAGCGGGAACATGGATGCCAAGACATCCGATAAATTTTCACGTGAAATTGATTCAAGGATTGATAATAATCGAGACAATGATACAGATTTGGAAGATGCTTCCCGTGCGATCGCTGACATTACGTCTTCAGAAGTTGCGGATTTTCCTGAAGAATATGACTCCTCAATTGAACTTCTTAAATCTCCACTCACGGAGGCGAAAGTTACATCAAAAATGGTTTCCGGATCGTTTTCTATTCGCAGCGGAAAGGCAGAAGTTTATAAGAATGAGCAACAGAACAGTCAGAAGCCTATTCAAGAACAACAATTATTTTTCAACCAAGCCCTTGAAGTCTTTAGTAAGCAGCAACAGCAACATCTTCTGGAAAGGGAGCGCGTCAAGCAGCAAAACCGGATGGAGGAGCAGCGAATAGAGCTAGAGCGACAGCAGCAGCAACTGGAACAGCGACGTCATTCGGAACAACAGCGCCTCATAGAGCAAGAACAATTAGAGCAAGAACACCAAGAAAGGGAACGGCAAGAGCGGGAGCGTCAAGAAAGGGACCACATGGATAAACAGCAACGCCTAGAGCGCCAACACTTGGAAAAAATACGATTAGATCAAGATCGACACGAATCGCAACGTCGAGAGCAGCAACGACTTGAGCAAGAGCATCGCGAGCAACAACGCATTGAAGAACAGCGTCATCTTGAGGAGCAAAGGCGATTAGAGCAGCAACAGTGTATAGAGCAACAACGGCTGGAGCAGCAACAGCGTTTAACGCAACAGCGCCTAGAGGCTCAACGTCTCGAACAGCAACGACTTGACCGTCAGCGACTCGAAAATCAACGACTAGAACAACATCGTCAAGAGCAGCAACGTCAAGAGCAGCAGCGCCAAGAGCAGCAACTACTGGAGCAGCAGCAAATAGAGCAGCAGCAAATCGAGCAGCAGCGCAAAGATAAACAGCGCCAGGAACAGCAGCGACGATTAGAGCTTCAGCGCCGCCAACAGGAGCAGCAGCGCCAAGAGCATCAAAGCCAACTTCAGCACAGCAAGGCGCCAAGTCTTCCTCAAGTCGTACCGTCTGGAACTCCTCACTTGCAGATGATAAATCAGCAACAGCAGCTTCAACACCAGCAGGCAGCGATTCAACAACAGCAGCAGCATTCTCGCCAAATTCAGCACCCGCTTTACGGCGACATGTCCAAGGGAATGCTGATGTCTTCTGGCATGGGCAATACAAACCATCAAGACATCTATGCCCAGCAGGCGGCTCAGATGGGAATCGAAATGCACGATGTGAGTCGGCATCAAGGCTCAAGTCACTTTGTAGGCAGCACATCATTGCGTGTGGCTCCTTATGAAGTATCACGCAGCGCTGCTCAACAACCAGCTCCAACAGCACCGCGGACGAGCTTTTATGGCGGCGAAGGACAAATGCACTCTCAAGATGTTTTTGGCTCTCAAGGTCTGCCTGGTCAGCCGCGTCAGCTTTCAGACCACCACCAGATGTTTGCGGATGAGCTGCACCAGCAACAGTCAGACCAAGGCAGGACAATGGGAAGCCAGGAGTTTTTGATGAGCCGGTCTTACCGTGGACTTAATGACGACATACAACACTCTAATATCGAACAGTCGGATCACGATGACGTTAATATGGGAGATTGGCAGTAACAATTGAGGGTGGTGACTATGGAAATTCGCAAATTAGAACTGTCAGATTCGAATTCAAATTTGGAGTACTTCGGAGACCTGGGTATGGGCTTTTAACTATAGGCACGTATAATTCTGATATGTACAAAAGCCTTACAATTGCTTTTTTGTCTGAATTACGATACACTTGACTAGAAATTGACAGGCATCTTAACCGTAAGTCACCCAACCTTAATCTACTTACAGAATAAGTACTTTTACCTCACGCAATATACAAAGTTCACATTGCACTTTGGTGTAGTTGTGAATGGTCATTGGACCCTAGAAAAAAATATTTACACGAGGAACCCGTGGTACACATGGGCTGCTAGCTGCACGTCAAAATCTGAGAGCATTTGCTCGAATTATGGTGAATGGACACATTAAATTCACCTCGATAGCAGTCCTTCTTATGTATGAAATTTGAAACGGCAAATTTAACTAAACAGCTATTGAAGGGAGACTCTCGATATTGATCCTGGTACAAGCAAATCAGCCCAACCTTTGTGGGAATGTTACAGCAGACTCTAAGAGTCAAAGTTTTTTCTGTGCAAAGTGCACAGCAATTTCGTTGCACTTGGTAGCACTGCAAAGCTGGATATAAAATATTCGACTGCCTATCCCTGGGACAACTAAATACTTGAATAAGATTTTGTCTATCGTTGATCGTCGAGGAGATCAGAAAAGTGTCCGTCAAACTACTGGAAGGGTTAATGCTCACCGGAATGCCTTCTCCAGCTGTGATAATAAATGCGGTAGTAAGACCACCCCGTAGCAATCTGACCAGTCGCTGGTGGGGGAACAGATGGTACCCACGCGAGGTCGCTAGTGTTAAGCTCTCAGGCCTTTGAGAACTTGAATGGGTAAAATCTTTCACTCTAGACGCAAAAGTTTGAGACGATCATAGATTAAATCATGCTTTGAATGGTGTAACAGTGCGTCGCGCTTGCGGACTCCAGGCTAGAAGGCCGAGCAAGGCGTCAGTGCCAACGTTTATAGGTTGGGAGGCGGCAGATGTTGAGGGGTATTCGCACCGCCTTATCAAACGTATCGGGCTCAATTTATTTTTTCGTCTACTCGTCAAAGGAGGCAAGAGCTGATGGGCTATGTTTAGAAATAAGAATTCTTATCGCCGTGATGGCATCATACCCTCTCACGAAGGTAGTAATACTTATCATCTTTGTAGAGAGACTACGAATAGGTCTGGCTTGCACTAAGAGCTTCCGCACGCGCCTTATCATTTCCGACGAAGCTGTAGGCGTCGCATTCAGCGCGAAGTACTGCTCATGGGACGGTTAGGCTATATGGAGTACTTACTGGGAGTAGTGGATATGAGTGCGCCAGTGGCGATGGATCTCTGTCATGCTGAGAAATAAAAAAGAGTTTGTTAGCTGCACACTGGCTCTGCGGTACTCGTAAATGCTTGATTTTCATGACTAAAATTGTCTGTGCTTTGCGTGCCCCGTCACTCTCAGCTGGGAGGTACCAAAGATCGGTAACGCACGCAATAATTGCCGATAAACCTCGCACGAAGAAATTCCGTGTCATAGTAGGCGCAGGCTGGCTCTATTGCACTTTCTATGAAGTCGTGGTTTATGAGGCCCAACTCTTAAAGAGGCATTTTTTGTTAGATAATTTGAGATTTCACAACCCAAAACTGGCGGTTGCTGATGTTAGCATCTCGGGCTTCGCACAGGAGCGCAAATTTCTGTCAAATTCGGGAGACTCGTGCAATTATGTGCGATACACGACAGTTGAAATGGCAGACAGCACACAGAGGCACTGAAATGCCACCCACAAATGCTATATTTGGGCGTCTTACAGCGGGAGTGTTGTCGAAGGTCATGTCAGAGTTTTAGATGAAGTATTAAGACATTAACAGCGTGAAACACTGTCTCGTTGTGGTCTTGCACTTAAGATGCAATCTCACTCGAGGCATGGCGTGGCTGGAGTGCCATGAAGTATAGGTCGACATAAATCCGAAGAAATTAGATTTCACGCCTGCTGAAGTTCTAGCGAGTCATGAACCTACCTCCTTTAGGAAAAACATACATTTTTGACGCGGTCAAGAAGCAGCAAAAGCTTCTGTGCACGATATAAGATTGTCCAAAATTGATAGCTACGACATTGCTAAGTACCTCAAGCAGAGGTCGCTGCAGTGAGCCGCAGTCTCAGCTATGTCAGAAACGAACGGATTTAGATTGCAATTTTCAAGTATAACTCTGTTGAGAGAGATGCGACTACTGTATGTCGAGGTTCTAGCGCGTATCTGTGGTTGGACGGTAGAGTGCTGCAAACTGTTGTTTCCTGCGTCATGATCGGTGACGAGTGGAAGCAACTTAACACTGTAGTTTCGCGCACCAGAGCCAGTGAAGCTGAAGGACAACTGTAAGGAGCGAGTAAAAGGTCTGAGTTTTGACAGATAGATGTATTACTCGCCCTTGTCACCATGCAACGATACTGCTGATTCAGCACTACCGTGTGGCGTTCCCATCATGCAAAGTAGTTGAGCTCTACGGGTAAACGGTGGAATAGAGCATTCACTTGCGATCGGAGTGCCTGGGGTTTTTCTAGGGAAAGCAAGTATCCCCTCACTTTATTTGACAGCAGCTTGGAGACGTTCGGAAAGGTACCTCCTAGGTGGCTGCGCAAAGAGTTGCAAAACGATTTAGTAATGTAAATGGTACGGTTGGTCCAGAAGACAAGCTGCGCTCACATTTCGACATCGACGAAAGTGTCATTGAGGATACTTGCAGAACGCTGAGTATGAGGATCGGGACACTTATCGTTTAAATTGCTACAAATATTTTGATTTTTTGCTTAAGAAATATCGCACTGTAGTGCCAAGTGACCCACCGCGCGTGTTATTACAGGATGGAAGAAGCGTCATGAATGTCGCCTTAAACACCAAATTCAAATACTGCGCACACAGTTATGGTCCTTTTCACGGATAGGTCTAACACGTGCGGACATATATGCTCGTCTATTTGTACAGCTTGGATCACCAGTAGTGGAAACTCCCAGAGCTACAGATCGTCTCACAACCAAGATGACCACTGAGTGGAAGTACTGCATCCTCGTCGTGAGGAACCACACTTCGTGGCGTATCTGTCGAGTCGGTGCTATGATTCAAAAATTCGGTATTTAACGAATATCGGTGCAACCGCGCTCGCAGTCGCGACGACAACTTCTTGTCCGAGTCTCCAAACTCCTTGGTCTCGAGGGCCCGTAGCAACGCTACACACATATTATCACCCGCGTATGCGGCGCGGATCAAATTCGTCACGGACGAAGTCACCGTCAAGACATGATCAAGCTCATAATCTGGTCTGCGTGACAGCGCATCCGCCAAAGTATTCTGCTTTACTGGCTTATACTTCACCTCTAAGTTATATTCGGCAAAGAACATGAGCCACCTGGCCATCCTCTTCGAGGGGTGAGGCGACTGAGTCGCAGTGCGTAAGGACACATGATCTATGTAGATCACAAACGGCTTGGAGCCGAGCAGGTGCACTCTCAACTTGACAAGTGCATACTTCATCACAAGTAATTTGTTGACGTGGACTGGGTCGTTCCTCTCCACAGCCTTGAGTTGGCAAGATTTGAACGCGATCACCCGATCTCACCCCCCCAGCGTCTGCCTGCAGCAGTGCACAGCCGATAGCAAAGTCCGAAGTGTCTCAGACGACACTAAAAGGACGATCGGGGTCTGCCAACGCCAGTATCGGTTCACGAAGGAGGCTGGCTTTAACAAAAGCATCCCGATGCGCGGTGTTTAAACACCATTCCGTACCGTTCTGAATGAGATTCGACAATGGCCGTGCCATTTCCGCATAATTTGCGCTATACTTTGTGCAAGCAGTTGGCGTGCCCAAGCAACTTGCGCAAGTCATTTTGGACCTTTGGAACCAACCATTCCACAATGACCTTGGCCTTAGCGGGATCCGCTCGTAGACCACGCTTCCCAACGAAGCACCCTAAAAAGGGAATCTTTTCTGCGCCAAAGATGCACTTGTCTACATTGGCATACAGCTTATTCGTGCGCATACACTCGAGCATTGCTTTCAAATGGACGATGTGGTTTTCCTCATCTATCCTTTCGCGCCCCACATGACTGTGGAGGATGATGTCGTCGAAGTATGTTTGTGCAGACGCCCGATGGGGCCTGAACAACATCGTCACAGGACGATTAAAAATATTGCTGGTGGATTTGACAGCCCTTGGGGCATCACCAGCCATTCCCAGAGTATGCCGCTCGGAGAATCCCAGCTGTCAGAAGAAAATTACTCGCTCTCATGAGCAATTGATATTAACCTCAATTAAGTCCAGTGCGCTGTACGCTGAATATCCAACCAAGTTGTTCTGGAGAACATCCTTTCTAGAAATCGGCGTCTGTGCCGGAATGGTGGAGCGTTTGGCGTATTGTAAGTGTGAACGATACGCCGCTTGCCGTCCGGCTTCCGTACACAAAGCGTGGGTGTCGAATGGGGAGACGTGCTCTCACGCATCATTCCTGCGTTTTGCGTCGCACAAAAGAAGGAGTCAATGACGTCACACTGCTCCTTGGGCAAGGGCCATTGGCGTGTTACGCAGTCTTTGGTTTCTGGAACAAGGTCGATCTCATGACGCACACCTCGATCCGGGGGTAGGACCGACGGCGGGTCTTTGGAGGCGATGTCTTGAAATTCCTTTACGAAAGGATAGTACAGATGTAAGGGATCCTTCACTTCGTGCGCTCAGCGCCCTCTCGGTGTCCTCCAAAATAGTTTTCCAGAAGCGACGACGGGTTGATCTCCTCTTTTGGTCGTATGTTGAGCACTTCGGCTAAGTTGCCTGCCTTCAAGTCACTGCCAAACTCTTCGAAGATCATCTCGTTATGATCAAGACGAGTATGAACCGTAGGAATAATCTCGAGGGTGACGTCGCCGTCTTCCTCCCCGTCATACCGCTGACTAGGGTGTATAGATGTGCGCTTTTCCGACGGAGGGCTGCTAGCTCCGCAGTCTTAGTCCAGTAGATAATGCGCCACTACACGCCCATCTGAAGGGCCTTTCCCCAGATGCCTCGATAATCATCCGACCATGTCACAGATGGCACGTAGCGACTGCTTCCAAACGTGAGCAGTGCTCAGTGGATTACATGCCACTCCACGTGTATCACTGGGGCTTCACCCTCCATGCCTCGGACCTCGACCGACTGATGTTAATAACATCAGGGCTCCGGTGGAGCCGAAAGTGGTGCTAACACTGGACGACGCTGAGTGCATGTTTCCACGGCGACGCCGTATGCTAGCTGCAAGACGCCGGGCGTCGATCCTGACCCAGGATGTGTCTACTCGTGACATGCGGCGACTGCTTCGATACTTGAGCAGCGTTCTGTAGGTTACCATCACTGGGGCCTCAACCTCGATGCCTCGAACCATGGCCGACCATGCCAATCATGGCATGCAGCGATGGCTCCAATATTTGAGCAGTGTTCATGCCAATCCACGTTCAGCCCGTGAGCCATACCCGGTACTCCTGTCCGATACACCTTTGTTGTTTGACAACTCGAATACCCCGATCTCCAGGACGGTGACCGTCTTGGCCCAGCGCCCGCGCCAATAGCGTTTTGCCTAGCGGAGGTGGGTCCATGACTCACCAAAGCACGACCAGGAGACGTGCGCGTAGAGCCTGAGTTCTTCGACCTCCAGTCGATCCATGGCTCATACTGTCCCAGGCTTGCCATACCAAGAACGTGCTCATACCTTTAATTCAATTCTAAGACTAAGCAGCTTTCCACACTATGAAAGTCAAGAAACTTGACACCGAGGCCCATAGGAACCTTCGGCACCGTTACACATGTTCCCGTCGCTAAGCGAACAGTGACGATGTCACTCACCCGCGCCTTCGGTGCCTCAGCATACAACTGACTTCCTTCCATCGTGGAGCGTCGAGCATAATTGTCCGACGCCCCGGATTCGATGAGGATCTTCCATGGCTTCTCAAAGCCCTTCACAATCGCTTCCACGACCAGCAAACTCGGCTTGTATACACGTTCCGCGTTCAAAAGCACGGAGCTCTTCGAGGCTGGGCCCTGTTGAACTCTACCTCCTTGAGGCTCAGCAGAACTCAGCTATTCTCCAGTAGGCCACGTCACGCCTACAAGGCGTTGTTACGTCTTTGCGACAAACCAGAGGACTGGCAAGAAGCGGGACGTCGACTGGATGAACCTTGACGCGCCCTTCACAGGGGAAAACCAATCCGAAGATGACGGATGTCTCTACAGACAAAACACCGGAGGATGTTCGAACGCTACTCGGCAGCTTGAAGCTCCGCCTCCTCATCCTCAGCATAGCTGAGAAACATCGGCTCAGGCCCGCTCGAGGAGCTGTTAGAGTGTGCACTCCATCCAAGTCGTGCCGTATTGAAGTTGAACTCGGCTTTCAATGCAGCATTCACTGCTTCTTGAAATGAAGACGGATGCACAAGGAAGATTTCCATTCTGGCCACGCCAGTGCAGTGGCTCTTCATAAAGACGGTCACTTTGGCCGCCTCGGGAAGTAGATCGGCTGCCATCCCGACAATGAGAGCTCTCAACTCGTTGACAAAGACTACCAATTTCTTCTTGCCCTGTCGGGCGGCAAGAAAACGCGACCGCACGCGATATACCTGGTTAGGCAGAGAGAATACTCATGGAAGCTGCAGATTCAGCTCCGTCCAGGAAGCAATCGCTGCGTCGACCGCAGTACCGCACGTTAGTGCCCATTCTCGCGCTCTACCACCGAGCTTGGAGATAGCTAGCGCCATGTGCTGCTGCTCGATTTGGAACATGGCGAACACCATGGCCATCTCGACCTCTCTCCCACAGAGCTGGAGATTCTATACATCCTTGCCCTCAAAGGTCTTCACACTCACCATGAGTGGCTTGGGTCGTGAGGGGAGTCATTCGCCGTCGACGGTGGTGTCATGGATGCAAATGACGCCGACATCTTCTGCTGTAGGTGCTTTAGCAGAGCACTTTCATTGTTGAAAATATCTTTAGCGCGCGCTGATCGCTTCAAGACCTTGCAAAGCGAGGTGTTGCACGCCCTAAGGGCCGAGTAAAGATGTAACGGGGTTACATGCACCCTAGTAACAGGGGTGTGTGTCACACGAGATGGACATAGTATGGC